TTCCTCTGTTTTGCTCACCATCTTCCTCTGTTTGGATCCGGAGATTGGTTGAAGTATTTTGATGGGTTTGGTGTTTTTTAACGATTAAAGAACTCCTGTGGGCTGCGCGGGCGGCTGCGGACGGCAAAGGAGCCAACTTTGGTTCCGAAGGAACTCGCAGTCAATTACTATATAGACTCCATTCACATTGTGGGGTTGATAATCTTCGTTAAGCTTCGCTAATACTTGTTTGGGTCATTGTATTTTGCAAGGGTTTGCAATAAAAATTGGATCTTTATTAGATGTGCATATAAGATGGTGACCAGTTTGCAAATCTTAAAACTTCTAGAAAATATCAATGACTATTGTGATTGGACAGTTTTGTTATAGAGCCATGGGAGCCATCTACAGTTATTGATACGTGTCTTATAAATGTACTTTGGACATGTATCAATACATGAAGTGATGAATGGCTCTATAAGAAAATCATCTGATGGCTCCATAGAATATTTGTGTGATTGGAATGCTCAAAAGGAATAAAATTGTGATTGGAATTTGGATGATTTTATTGTATTTAAAACACTGTTTTGTGACCCGGACCGGACCGGCGGGTCGACCCGGGACCCGGTCGACCCGGAGCCGGAACCGGTCCGGGTGAGTTAATTGGACCGGGCAACAACGGACCCCGGTCAAACCCGGTCAAAACCCGGTCGACCCGGCCTTGACCCGGTCGACCCGGGGCATTGACCCGGCTGGGTCAACCCGGTTGACCCGGTCTATATGTATTTTTTTTTTATTTTTTTTTTGTTTTTAAATTTTCTTTTTCTTTTTAAAAAATAAAATTAGGTATATATATATGATAAAAATATATATATATTATTACCACTTTAATCTACAAATTTTACATACAAAATATTTAAATTTGTTGTTTTTATGTATATTTATATATCACAAAATATTCTATATATAATTCTATAAATTTTAAAAATAATTATCCGGTTCAGCAATTGACCCGGTGACCCGGCGGTTGAACCGGTGACCCGGTGACCCGAAGACCTGCCCGGGTCGATTACCGGGCCGGGTTTAAAAACTATGATTTAAAAAGTAATAATAATAATTTCGCTAGTTGGGACGTTAAGTGATATTTTAATTTTTGTTTTTTTATTTATTGAAAAAGGAGTAAATTTTTTTAAATCCCCCTATCCCCCTCCCCCTATATATTAATCCAGAACGCACTGAGCTTATATGGCTGTTTTTGGTGCTTCGAAATCCTATGTTGCAAAATTACATGTTTCGTTATTAGGCTTGGGTAAATTTAATTTAATTCCAAACCAAAAATAATTAGGTTCGGACTACCATAAATATGTTGATTATTTATGGTCATGTTACATGTATTAATTGCATCATTCCTTATTATAACTATTGAATAGTATATATATTTTAAAAGTTAATAACTTTTGTATTTTTTATCAGTTTTACATATGTAATATTTCAAATTAATCTTTTTTTGATGAGCTTCGATTTAACATCCGTATTGTATATATAAAAAAAATAATTTATATTTATCTTTATAATAATAATAAAATTATTTTTAATATTAATTAGAAAAATAAAATTATTTATCAACTGATATATTTATATTTCAAGTAGTTATATGATATAAGTTATAAAAACTAATATAATATAACACATGTAAGTCATAAGTAACACATATCATTCTAAATATATAGTAATATGTTTTTTTTGTAAAAAAATAAATTAAATTTAATATAATTTTTCTCACTAATTTTAAAATTTAAGAATAGTTTTTTAACAAGCACCCGTGTAATAATACTAGTTGTAATTTAATGTAAATAGAATAAGATAGGTAGAGGTAGTTGAAGATTCGTTGTTCTTATAATTATTAGGAAGTCAATTCATCCATCAAATATACTCAAATGTGATTATGTAGGAAGATGTTACGGTTCTGAAATCACTCCGTTGGGATTTGTAATCGTTAATGATTACAGATCCTGACAGAATTGTTCTAGACCTTACCATTTCTTGTAGATTATGACATTTTATTATGTAAGTACATATTTTTTTTAATGAAATTAAATATGCCAAGACACATTTGTAAGTTGGAGATATGTTGGTTGATGAATATTAAAATGTGTGGTAATATTTTTTGCTTTAGTAAATTTTGTATTGTTAGAACTAACGTGGAAAATGTGATATGAACAGATAGTGCAACTATTAATTAAGATTGAAAGATAAATGGTTGGGTGAAATTTTTTATTTGATTTGAGCTTATGAAATCAAATTGTAATAATTAAATTTGATGTAATATAAAAATAATGAAATGATAATTCTAAATGATTGATAATTAAATATATGTGAGAAGCTAATTAAAAAATTTTGTTGCAAATTATCTTTTAATGATTGATTTTATTATTCATTTATACTGAAATTCTAATTTGCAAACTAGCGTGTCTTCTTCTCCAAAAAAGCCGGAGGCCCAATCAAGGTGCCTTTGCATAGCTGAATTTTTTTGTCACTGGGCAAGGAAGCAATTCCGACGTGTGTCTTTGGGTCCCACGACATCAGAGGAATTGAGTGATTTTAAATTAAAAACTTGTATTCAGTTGTTGTTCCGTTCATAAAATTATTCGACGAGAAAAAAAAAAAGTAATAAACACATTCCAAAAATTAATATTTTATTATTTTTTTATTGAAAAACATGTTTTATTAATAAAAATCCAAAAATCAAAATTTTATTATTTATGTATTGAGTTTGAGAAACATGTATTATTAATTGATTTTTATTATAGTCATGCCAAAAATTCTATTAGAATCGGTGAAATTCGGAATATTCCACTTTCTGAGGGACTTCCATGTAAATATAATAAGAAGAGTCCGCCGTCGTCCTCCGATGCTGTGTGGAGTGGGTTTTCCAATCAGATCAGATAAATACATACACTCGCGAAAAACCCTTATCTCTCCCCCACCCAACAGATAAACGTGCAGACGCTAAATTCTGTAATATCACAAAAACCCTAGCATTTGCTTTCTTCTTAAACCCTACTGCAGCTCTATTCGATTTCGTCGCCTGAATGTGAGTATACATGTTCTTGTTCGCTGCTTTGTGTTTCTTTCCTTTTTTCCTGACGTGGGCTCTAAGTAAAATGACCGAATTTGTGCAAATTTCTGCGTTTGGCATATGGGCCGCTGATTTTCAGTTCAGTTCACTGTTATATGCTTTAGCTGATTTTATGTAGTTTTCTTATATGTGTGTGTGTGTGTTCAGGTTTAGCTTAAGTTGAAAATTTCAAATGTTTCTTAAATTTTGGGTCGACAAGCTTCTTCAATCCACACGTTATGAAAGGTTATTGTGTCGAGGGTTCATTAAAAATATGAAAATGCCTGCATTGCTGCCTTAATGAGTACCGATAAGTGCGATATTCGAAAGCATTTGAAACTTGGGGTTTTGAAATTAGGCTTTCCTAAGGATATATGACAGGAAATTTGCAAAATTTCGCCCTTTGATTTTTTGTGTTGGCTAAAGTGCTAGCCTAGCCTTTCACGACCAAACGAAGACCTTTAGAAACTGATTTTACGAAGACATTTGCAAAGATAAAGTGAAAAGGTAGCAATTTTTCTAATCTCCTGTATATTTTAGCTTCCTGGTGACGGTGCTATTTTTTTTTTAACTGTAATATTTTATTATGTACGTATATTATGATTAAGGGTAGTAAAAGGGGCTTCTGTTGTTTTGTCGTCCTTTTGATGTATTGAATTTGTAAGTTGGTTGTCTTGATGAAATGTGGATTTGCTGCTCCTCGTTTTTGTAATGCAAGATGGCTAGTTATCGAAGTGGTAACTTAAGGCAAAACGTATTCTCCCCCTATTGCGTACAATGGTTTTTTTTTCCCCACATTTCTCAAATCTCGCCTGCATACCTCTTTCCAAACCCAGATCTGTTATCTATGTTGCAAAGTTGTTGAAGTGTCTGCAATGCACATGCACACTTGCTGTGAAGTGAAGGCACAATATTCATTTACATGCATCACATTCAACTTGTATTATTTTCATGTAAATAGTCTGCTGTCTTCACATTTGGTCCCAAATTGAATGGTGTGTTTTCAACTGTATCTGGTTTCATCAGCATCTGAGTTGTCAGTAAAATTTTACTGTTCATTAGGAAATATGTGGGAATTGGATTGTAAATTTATTAACTTCTGGCGGTTATATGCAAGTTTATAGTTTATACAGAGCTAAGGCTTATTTATTAAATACGTTTCTGTAGAAACTTGATGGCTGAAATTGATCAGAATCATACCGAACCTGAACAAGATCATGAAACTGAGTATCAACCTGAAATTGCGAATGAAAATGAAACTGAGTTTGTACATGAACTTGCACATGTACCTGAACCTGAAGAAGACAAACCTGAACTGGAAGATGGGGTACCAGAGAATGTTGGTCCTGAAGAACAGGGCCATGCAAATGAAACAGTTGATGGAGGTGCTGAAAAATGGCCAGGTTGGCCTGGAGAGAGTGTTTTCAGGATACTGGTGCCTGCACAGAAAGTTGGAAGTATAATTGGACGTAAAGGAGAATACATAAAAAAAACATGTGAAGAGACAAAAGCTCGGATTAAAATTCTTGATGGTCCTCCAGGAATGAGAGAAAGAGCAGTAAGTAACAATTTTATGTGTTTTTTAAATCATACTATGACATGTTTAACAGGGATGTACGCAGGATTCATTATGTAACATGTTCTCTTATCTCTCTGAAGTATGCTAGTTGTTATGTCAGTTTTGTCTCAGATTTTTTAATTCTTAATAATTTTTAAAGGCTGGATGTTTAGGAGTAGAGACTTGTTAGCTTCCTTCTTTGATTGTCCATCGTTTTAGTTATCTATCTCTTTCAATTCTGAGTTGCGGTTACACTGTTTGCATTATGTTATAGAAGCCATTGGCAGCATTAAGATGAACTTAATGTGTCATTCATGTGAAGTTTCATACACACTTCACTGTGCTATAAATGTGTTTACTAAGATTTAGATATGTGCTTACTGAATGTGTATGTTTAGGGATTATCATGGGCCAAGTTCTTGGTTTATTAGTTGGTTTTTAGTCTTGTAATGTTTTGTTTCTTGCTTCAAGTAATATCAAACAAGATTTACATAATGCAGAAGTAAATGTCTTTATATTATTTTTGCCCTTTTTTTAATACCTGTGTTCCTTTTGTCACTGCTCGGTTGGTTTTTAATGCTAAACTTTGATTAATCTCAGTGTTATGATCAATCAAGACCATAACAGATAGCTTTTGTATGAAAGCTCCTAGCTTACATGGTATTCTTAAATTTTTGGCTGCTTCATAGTGCAATAAAAGCTGCTCTCTATCTATCGTTTAAATACAGAATACCTGATTTTGCAAGTTATATTGTAAGCCAAACATTGCTTGCAAGGGAGGTGAGGTGGCTTTGCAAGTGTGGGATATTTCCTATTTGAATCACAGATAGCATTAATAAACAGCTGTTTATGTGTTTGTAGTATAAACATTAGTTATGCTATAACCTTATGAACCTTGGAAACTTACAATCCTCGTCTAGGAGTAAGGTGGTATTACTATTACTACAGGATGAACTTCAAATATGACGGTGGAGCATGAACAAATACCCTGAAGATTTCATTCTTAAAGTTTGGAGCATATTATTTGGTTATGAGATATATGAACCAAATTTAATGTAAATAAAATGAGGATAATAAAGTATGACAACTACACATGTAAGTGCTTGTATGGGGCACGTCTAGTGAACATTGTGACTGGATTTAAAGTTAAAATTGGATGCTGAGGACTGTTCATGAAGTTGGTGACAACTGTTTTATTGAATTTTTTCATGATTTGTCAGACCTTGTCATCTGAAGGCAGCCAATGCCAACTATTTTCCCTCTTAAGATACGTCAGTGCGAATTATCAGAGATTCAATTCTATATTGCCATATGTGGGGATACGTCGAGATTCCTGACGAGTGAATAAGATGGTAATTGATCAATGGCTCTGTCGTAAACCACGTTTGAGAGCTCATGATGTATTTTCCAGGTGAAGATAATGATGGTGTCTATAGTGGCATTTATGAAAATAGTTAACAATAAATTGATATATCTACTAAAACCTGCAATTGAAAGGAATTTCAGTAACCAATGGAAGCAATGAAATTTATCTGGCCGAATAATAAGCCGATGATAGCCTTTCTTTGAGAATGCTGCCAATGCTGTATCAGCTGCCATTTCTAAGTAGGGTTGTGAAATTGCAGGTATGCAGCATAACAATCAGAGTCTATGAAGAGGATTTTCTTTATGGATGGAGTTCTCAAAATAAAATTTAGGCTTGAGAGATTCGTGGTTTTCTAGGGTCAGAGAGACTAAAACACAGAAGAGGTCCTGGCCTATTTACTTTTGTCATATTTTCGGATTTTCTCAATATCAGTGTTTGCTGTCCTACTGATTATCCACTACATCAGATCTGTCACGTGTAGAGATGACGTACTTCTTCCTTTGATTCCGGAATTAACGACCCTTTCAGCTGACTGGAGCAATAAATCTTCCATAGGTTTGCTTAGTAGACAATAAATATTAAATAATCCAAAAATTTCAGTTAGATTAACATAATTATGCTTCTTAAGCGACCTATAATGATGGGGAGCAATAATGTATGATACTAGAATATAATCCTTTCTTATATGTTATTTAACTAAATTACTGAAATAATTAATATGTATTTTATACTGAGAACGGTAATATTGATGCAGTTGTTTAGCGGTAAATGTGAATGATCTTTTTTTCTTCTCATATGAAGATATCGAGCACACTAATGTGGAAATTCACCTATTTTATAATGTGTGAAAAATATAACCACAAAATCTTGCTTAGGGTTCGTAATGCAAGTTGTTGGCTTCTGATATAGCTTTTTTCCGTGACAGGTAATGATATCTGCCAAAGACGAGCCCAGTGCTCTTCTTCCACCAGCTGTAAATGGTCTTCTCAGGGTGCACGCACGTGTCACGGAGGGAATGGAAAATGATTCTTCTCAACCTGCACCAGGTTTAGGTGGAAAGGTCTCGACAAGACTGCTTTTGCCAGCTGCTCAAGCAGGAAGTTTGATTGGTAAACAAGGCACTACAGTCAAATCCATTCAAGAAGAGTCTAATTGCATTGTTAGGGTTCTTGGAGCAGGTTTTATTTACATCTCTTTTTGTCTGATATAATATGCTAGAATTTTTTTTTTTTTATTTTTTTTTTCCTGAATGTTAATTAAGTATCTCATATGCTCAATTTGTTACAAAAATCATGCACAGAAGAGCTGCCGGTTTTTGCCCTCCATGATGATAGAGTTGTAGAGGTAGTAGGGGAGCCCGGAAGCACTCATAAAGCGATCGAGTTAATTGCTTCTCATTTGAGAAAATTTTTAGTCGATCGTAGCATAATACCAGTAATTGAAATGCAGGTTCGTCTTACCAAAAAAAAAAAAAAACTTGCAGATTCGTTTCCGATTGGAATATTTAATTTTTCGATCGGAACTTACCTTCTTATGTTTCATTTTAGATGCAAACGCCTAATTCTCATATGGAAAACGTGCCTCCTCCTCCCCAGCATTGGGGCCCGCCGCCTCCTCAATCTCCCCAGCATTGGGGCCCGCCACCTCCTCAATCTTTTCCTCCGAATGCTCACACAATTGCTGGATTTGGTGGAGCTAATTCACACTTTATGCCTCCTCCTAGACAGTTTGATAATTACTTTAACCATGCCGAAATTCCTCAGCCGCCCGAAAATCAACCTCATGAGGGGATATCTGTCTATGGAAGGGAAGCCCCAATGCTAAATCAGACAGCTTCAGCAGTAATCACTCAGGTTACCTTTTGCTGTTAGAAAAACTTAGTTTAATTTCCTTGTTTATATAATGGTCAATTTTGGAGCCTTGAATGTTATGAATTGTGGTGTGCTTTGTATTAATAATTCAATTGTCCTTTTTTTCCGAATTTTAACCGACCCAGATGTTCTACAACTATATTACACTAAGCCATCCAAATGATACTATAAATTCAACTTGGAAAGAAATTTGTACATTACGCAGAGTTGTGTTGAAGTTTTACGGAGCGAATTTTATATTCATGGCCATCCACATATTTTGCAGATCACACAGCAAATGCAAGTTCCACTATCTTATGCCGATGCTGTCATCGGTACACAAGGAGCAAATATAAGCTACATTCGACGAGTTAGCGGCGCGACAATTACCATTCAAGAGACGAAGGGAGTTCCTAGTGAGATGACGGTTGAGATTATCGGAACTTCTTCTCAAACCCAAACTGCTCAGCAGTTGATTCAGGTGAGAGATACTGTCGATTCTTTTAGCTAAATTTTTCCTTATTTTCATTTATTTATTTATTTATTTATTTTTATTCGTTGGTGAATTGCAAACCTTGTATAATGTTAGTTTTCGATTATTAACTATCAGGATAGTTTGATAAGTTTTTAAGTATCGAATGTGTTCTGCAGAATTTCATGGCAGAAGCTGCTGCAGCTGGGACAGCTCAAGCACAGCAAGCCTCGTCAGCCGATCAAATGTATAATAATAATAATTCCTATGCAGCTCATGGCTCGGTTTACTCGTCCCAGCCTCAAAATCCGAGTCTTTCGGGGCAAACAGGAGGTGCTGCTGCTTATGGCTCGGTTTATGGTTCCAACTATGGATATTGACTTGGTGTTCCTTAACATCCAACTATTTGCATCGAGCCTATTCCAGTTTAAGAGATTTGAAAAGCAAACTAGGAAGTTGAACTTTTAGCTGTTGGGGTACGTTTCTAAATTCAGCCGAGCACGGTCACTCTTTTACCTGATTTTGTATTATGTGCTTTTCTCACCAAGTCGTAAATCACATTCTTCGTCTTCTTCTTCTTCTTCTGGTGTTTTATGCTCAGATGCATGAGCATTTTATGTTGAAGTTCTATTGGAATTGGTATCACATCTATACTTGTTTTACTTTGTACCTTTAGCAAGCATGGAAATCCTTCTTTTTCAGATACAGTTTTTCATGTTATTTGTTGATGATAATTGCAAAACCTTCTCCCCCTTAGGTTCTGGGGTGATACAAAAATTTAAGGGCATGTTGGGATACAAATATATCCGGTTAACCAAATTAACTTTGAAAAAAGAGTAGGTGTTAGAATATTTAATTTAATATATTTAAAATTGATTTAATGTAAAAATATCAGAAAAGTGATGAACTGATAAGAGAAATTATGCGAAGTGATAGTTAAAATTATTCAAGTAGATGAATAGTAACTTAAAGTGATGTGTTGTGTAAGAATGAATTATAGATATTATTTAATTATATTGATAATACTGAGTAGCGTTCTCGATGTCGCTAGGTGTTCGTTAGACGCTCGACGAGCGCCTATCACTTAGAGCTTCTAGGCATGGTGATGGAGACGAGACCGCGATCGCCTTTTTAAATAAATACGACATGCTTCGGGTTTAAGTCGTTTATTATTAGTTCGCTTATTATGCTATTTCCCTTTATTTTAGGTAATTAAAATAAATATCTTGCACTATGTTAGGCAAGATACTAGAATAGGACTCTTTCTCTTATTATTTATTTGAGAAGTACGATGAATGAAAGCAGATTATTGTGAATTGAAATTTCTGTGTGTGTTCTTCTTGAGAGAGTATATCATCTTATTCCCGTTCGTACTACGCTCTACATCACATGGCCTAGAAATTAAGACTAAATATCTTTTTGTTTTTATTTATTTTCACTATCTAAATAAAAACATCTCAACTTACTATATATTCACACTCCTAACTCAAAATCATAATATTATATATTATAAAGAAAACATGATAACAAAATAATGTAATCAGTATTTAAAAAAAAAAAAAAATTGCCGCATATTTGCTTGACCAATTTTTTTAGCCGATTTATGCAAATCAAAGGGGGCCACCTAGATTGATTTTTAGTACATATTTGAGGATATAAGGGTTGGAAGTGTTGGACTAAATTTGAGTTCGATTTTGAGTATGAATTGAATTTATTTATAAACGAAGAAACCCTAAATTATTCTCATTTTTCACCTTAGATTTTGAAACAAAGATTGTCGATATTCATTCTCATTTTTCACCAAAAGGCTCATTCTCACACCATACACACATATATTTAACTTTCTATTAATTTATCTAATGCGGTTGGATATAGATTTTTCTTTTTTTTTTTTAATGTAAATATCTTAATGAGAAAAGGTGAGTGAAAGAAAAGTTTTATTTTTAGTCTATAAAATATAATGATCAAAGTTAATTTAATATAAAAATAGTAAATTACTAATATAAGTTAAAAATATATGAATGGATTAACTGTAAATTCGATTGAAAAATGCATCGATAGATTGAAAAGATTATCGAGCGAGATGAAATAAAAAAAAATGCTACAAGTACATAATAAATGTATATAGAGGTGTACATAACACTCACATAGAGTGAAATCTACTTGATTTTTTTATTTTTGGTCGGTCTCACTCATTATGAATATTTTGTACACCCCTATGTACAATATTATATACCTATTATCATTTCCAATATAATATATATCCAATAGCCTTCGTTGAATAATCATTTCTTCAAAATAGTACATAAACATTCACACAAGTTTTGATTTTCCTAGAAGAAGAGCAATGAGGATATACAACAGACATTAATGTACACCAAATCCAAATACACACACACCACCTTCATAAAGAACCCTATTGAAAATTTGAAATAGTCTCCTTTATAAGAAAAACAACAGGACCACTCAAGTTCAAGTATTCAAAAACTCGAAGCAGAGGTTTACCGGTACACATTTTTACACGAGCATTCGACCAACAATCGCAATCGTTAATCTTTCTTTGTTGACACGGATCAACTTTTGATTTTCCAAGGAGAATGGCAATGAGGTGGCGTTCAGCCAGTCTAGAGGGATATCGACAGCAAATTCACTTGTTAATCCTTTTTTTTTTTACCCCACCTATTCCATGCTTTCGGAAGGAGCAAATCAGGGTCTCGACCAAAAGTTGGAATATCATTAGAAAGTTCCAATGGCGAAATGAATTCCATTCGTGCTAAGTTCCAATGAGAGGTCCCTGAAAAAACAGCATGCGACAAAACAGTTATGCGAAAGCTATCACAAAGGAGGAGAAATACAGAAAAGAAAAAAGCAGTGAAAAGGGCTCGTCGAGCTCAATGGAGAAAGGCAATATGTTACCTACGATTTTGCATCTGGAAAGGATAAAAACTCGATTCGATATGACGTGCAATTATCATTTGTGTATAATGTAATATCAGTCACATGAGAAATTTGAGGGGATATTTTCTATAAATTCCTGGTGATTCTTGAAGTTACCAAAGCAACACAGCTGATCGAAATATCGTAATTTCCTCTTTCATGGCATACCATATTGGTTTTAAATGTACTCGATTTTTATGACATTCTAACCCATAATCCGAAACATGGCATCAGTTTTAAGCCCCAACACTTATGCAGGAGAATTCCACTGTGTAGGAACAACAGATTAAATTGAGTTTACAAATGCCTCAAACAAATCAAGTTTACCTTCAAGGGGACTGGGGATTCATGGTTTGTCAAATGACCATTTAGCCCTGCCTCTTCCGAAAAGGAGATACAAACCGGCTGCCATCTTCCAGCTTCAAAATATCATGACTGTACTGCTGCTCAACAACATCAGTACATGGGTCAGCAGGTAAGAATAGTATTTCATTCTGAGACATGTTTGAATCACTGAAAACAGAATCTTTTTTCGAACGACTCAATGTCGATCTCCTCATCTTCAGTAATATCAGAAGCTTTCACCTGGAATAAGTAATACAAAGGTAAAAGATGTGTATTATTAGACAGCAGTAAAGGAAAAACAACAAAAATAAAGGCAGGTTTTAAGTTTTTAAATTCTACTCACGTTTTCTATTTCAGGCAATAAATCAAATTCATCTTCTCGTTCTACATACTCCTCATTCTCCTCAAGCTCTTTGAAATCCGGAGCAAACGCGTTCCAATTCTCGGTGTAGTCCTTGGCCCAAATATAAACCAAGCCCATCAACGAGACTGAAACAACAATAGGGCGAACGGGATGCCATGCAAGATCTATCAATGCTTCCTTTGGACCCTCGAGGATTTTCACGAGATGCCCGGCCATATCCCATATGTACATCTTGTGTTCTCCTTTGTTAGCAGAACCTCCAATGACCCACTCCTCATCACCACTAAAGCACGGAGCTTTCCAGTGCACTCTAGTGACCGAGTCCTGCAACTCACGAAACAAAGCCAGGCACCTCGACCCAACAACCTTAAACTTCTCGAATTCATCTTGCTCATCGAGCTCTTTGCTAAATTCGTCCAGGGCATATAGCCCGCTTTTAACCGGCAAAAGATTTTCGTAGATTCTGATGGTTCTATCATTTGAGTTTGTCAAGAGATACTGTCCGTTCTTACTAAACGAGATGTTCTTGATTGCGCCACTCCCTGCAATCGGCACAACACCACGTATTCGGAAGCTATTATGGTCCACAATAAGTATTTCGCCTTCGGAATTCCCTACATAGACTAAATCCCCATGCTTGTTAACGCAAGCTGCAGTAGGCGTAAAACCAGTGGATCCATCCGAAAAATTGTTACGTGATGGATAGTATAAATCTCTAAACCGAGAGGCTACCTATAATATTTAAGAATGTAATGAGAAACTTTTTTAGAATAAGGCATTTGTTGTCACCCAACAATATTACAGGATCAAAATAATCTTTATCATGGGTTAAAACGATAGATAGTACTATAAATAAGTGGACTGCTTCAATAATACTAACGTCTATAATATTATAACAATGCATGCATCAATTCCCCGTAAACTTCAGTAACAGGAGGGTCTGTTGCTATGGACGACTCCAAAGCGATTCCCCGTAAACTGCAGTAAACAGAATGAAATTTGTCGTATGGCGGATAACAGATGTTCTAAGCCTCACCTACATAAAAACTAGTAAAAGTTGTAACTTTATATAAACTGCAGTAAACAGAATGAAATTTGTCGTATGGATAACAGATGTTCTAAGCCTCACCTACATAAAAACTAGTAAAAGTTGTAACTTTATACATAAAAAAGTGACTAATTATCAAATGATAATTAATTAGTGTAACTAAAACATATATAAATAATATTTTAAAATAACAATACGTAAATAATATTTAAATTAATTTTAATATAAGTGAAAATTAAGTATATATTAGTTTTAATATGCTTGTTTTACTCAACTCACTTTAATATTGGTAATATTGGGATTAATTTTAATACAGATGCAAATTAAATAAAAATATTGCAATCACACATGTGAAACATAACTAATTTGCAACAACTTATAGCATATGATAAATGTCATTGGCTCACAATTCTAGTGTCAAGAATGATCTCCGTACCAAATATATATATATATATATATATGTCAAGAATAATTAAACAAATATAATAACCATACAAAATTATAAAAACATATTCCCAGACATTATTTTCTAACCATACGTTACTAGTACAACACCCGTGTATTACACGGGTGCTTGTTAAAAATTATTCTTAAATTTTAAAATTAATGAGAAAACTATATTAAATTTAGTTTACTTTTTTACAAAAAAAATATATCACTATATATTTTAGAATGATATATATGTGTTACTTATGACTTACATGTGTTATATTATATTAGTTTTTATAACTTATATCATATAACTACTTGAAATATAAATATATTAGTTGATAAATAATTTTATTTTTCTAATTAATATTAAAAATAATTTTATTATTGTTATAAAGATAAATATAACTTATTTTTTTTATACATACAAGATGGATGTTAAATCGAAGCTCATCAAAAGAAGATTAATTTGATATATTACATATGTAAAACTGATAAAAAATACAAAAGTTATTAACTTTTAAAATATATTTAATAGTTACAATAAGGAATGATATTAAAATGCAATTAATACATGTAACATGACCATAAATAATCAACATACTTGTTGTAATCCGAACCTAATTACTTTTGGTTTGGAATTAAATTAAAATTTACCCAAACCTAATAACGAAGCAAGTAATTTTGACACATAAGATTCTGAAGCACCAGAAGCAGCCACGTAGACTCAGCGCGTTCTGGATTAATATATAGGGGAGGAGATAATACCTTAGCAACTCACTAAAGCAAAATAAATGTAAGTGAGAAAATTAACCTCAAAGGTGAACAAATTATCAATTCCTCCTTCCTATGAAAGCATCATCAATATAAAACCTTAAAATGGTCTAATGTGAGCACTTTATCAATCTTACAACACACACATTTTGCTTTGATGATATATGACAAAAATGCATATTTATACCATTAAATATCATGCTTATGTGCATGGTATTTTTTTTTTTAAATAAGACATTTGCTAAGGACAATAGACATAGCTTTGTAAACGAGCCGAGCCGAGTCGAGTCGAGCCGAGCCGAACCCTTAAGGAGTCAGAAATCGAGCTCGAGCTCAAGCTCTACTCATTTATCACTACTAACGAGCCGATTTCGAGATTTAACGAACCGAATTATAGAAAATTATATAAAAATTCTCTTTTCAACTCTTATTGAACCGAACCGACTTGACTCGTTAACCAAGCAAACTTTAAATGAGCTCAAGTTTGGCTCGTTAAGGCCTCAAGCTCGAGCTAAACTGAAGTCTCCACGACCTAAGCTCGAGCCGAGACGAGTCAGTCTCATATAATTAATTAACAACACTATTATAAAAACACCACAACAAAAAAATTGTTATATTCCAACGAAAATCCAATGGTATTAGAGCATGCTTGAATACAAATTTAACCCAAAAAATCCAATCATTTTTATCTCAACCACTTTTTTTAACTCAACTTTAACTCAGCCACACTATCATCAATATTATTAATGTAATTAAATAATATCAATCAATCATTCTTACACAAAACATCAACCTTAGTTCACTATTCATCTACTCACATAATTTTAACTAAACATCACATCACATCTTCTCTTTCCTACTTTTATATCAATTTAATTTTAATTATTTTATTTAAATATTATTTTAATACACCCACTAACATCTAACCATACCAATTTTTTCAAATTTAACCAAACCAAATCAAAAATTTAATCAAAAAAAAAAAATTATATCCAAGCATGCACTTAATACTAGTATTCATCCTGTGCACATGCACAAAGAAAAATAAAAATTTATATATTATATGTATGTATACAATATATACAATATATTAGATAATTGATGTATTACATTTTAAATTTTGAATATATGCAAATGTGTAATGTAAAATAAATTATTTAATTTACGTATGAATCTTTATGTTGATGCCATAAATTTTAATGGATAATAATTTAGTAATTTACGGACCATACAATTAATTAGTTAGAAAAATAGAATAATTATTTTTATCATAACAATTGTTTATGTGATTTTAAGGTGTTTAATTATGACATTCATGTCAATTAACTAATATTAGATAAAAGCTGCTTAAAAAGACAAAAATATTTTATTTTAGAGAAAGTATTTTAAAGAAAAAAAAAATTGCATTACAATTTTTTATAAGTATGTAACTTACACATACTATTTAATGTAAAGTTGTAATCAATTAGTGTCAGTAGTGTTAGTTTAAAGTTATTATTATACTTTATTAATGTAAAATGTAACGGTTCTACATTAATTGAAAAAATGAGGGGGAAAATAAAATGTAACGATTCTACATTAATTGAAAAAATTGGCGGGAAAATGAATAAAGGTTTTATTAATTAGGTTTTATTAAATGTTGTATGCCAGCAATTATATATATATAGATTCCAACGGATATTCCAATGACATAACTTCTGTTGGAATGATTCCAAAAAAATATTCCATTGAAATATATTTTTTTTGGAATTTTAGATGTAATTTGATGATTCCAATGACTATATTTCCAATGGCTTTTTACAATAGAAATTTCTGTTTGAATATGCAATTTCCGTTATAATTTTTACCCAGCTGAAAAATATACCGTTGGAATTGTCAAAATCCAAGGAAAATTCCAACGAAAAACTCATTTCAACGAAAAATATCTCTTGAAATTGCCGTTGGAATTCTCTTTGAATGTACATATTTCGTTGGAATTTTATCATTTTCTTGTAGGGCACGGTTTAAAGAAAAAGTATGTCCATATAATAATGGTTAAATCTGCGTAACACAGTCTTTATCTGCATAACACAGCAAGACCCAGCGATCTTACAAAGTTCAATAAATAAAAAGACAAGAATTGAAGGGTTTAAATGAATTAGGTAATTGCATTTTTGGCCATTTCCCCTGTTTTTGTTTGTAGTTTTGCTCATCTCTGTCCAAACTCAATTTGGTAAACCACCTAAAGTTTACCAGCAACAGCTAAAAAGAGCCCCACAAAAGCCCCCCCTTTGATTCCCCACCAACCCACCCATCTTCACCCCCGTTGCCCACAGGGGCGCGTGGAGAGGTGCTTATATCTTATTTTATTTTGTTCAAAACGTGTTGGGTCTAAGTGGCAGATTCTCACGCTTCGAATGCTGACATGACGAAAATTTATGCTTCGTGATGTTGTTTTTAATATTATTGTTGCTCTGGAGTTAGGTTTGGTATTAGACATAAATAACTTTTATCATATATTTCTTAAGTCAACACCCGTGTTGTACACGGGTATTTTACTAGTTGGTGTTTGTATACAAAATATATCATTCACGTTTTAATTCGTGCTCAAAATTTTAATTCAATTTTAACTCAACACTACTATTTTTAATATTATTCATATAATTAAATAATACAAATTCACTATCCATTCGCACGCATAATTTTAACTAACTGTCAGTTAACACCATTTTCTCTTTTACTTTTAGATGGAATAAACATTATTTATTTTGTTTTAAGTATTATATTAATATAAACTTAAAGTTTCACTAACAACTAATCATATCATGCATCTTTTTCAAAATTAACTCTGGTTATCCAAAAAAGCTTATTTTGAGCGGATTAATTTGTAAACGAGCACGCATGTGTGTATATGAGTTAGGAGTCTTTAGTCTATTGTTAGTCGATGGTCCCGTATTTGAATGATGGATTTCGTGCGTTGGTCTCGAATCTGATTAGTCGTAGCCGTTTCGGAGTTGTGGAGTAGGATTTGCGTTCTAGTGTCGAGATTATGTTATTCGTTGTCTGGCCATTGTTGTTTTGTTGGCTCTGGTAGCACGGCGGTGGTGTAGTTTTTGAAAGATGGGGAGGACTTAGTCTATTGTTTGTGATCAGTGTAGTCTTTTGAAGGCTGTGGAGGACTTTGTGACCTTGGGTCGCGACTAGTGTTTTGTGTAAAAATGGGACACTTGTCTCATTTTTTATTGGATAAGTGTATTTTATTGTTTCTAAAAAAATACTAAAATTCAGATTTTTCATTCACTACAAGTAGAGACCACACTTGATATATTTTAGAACACAACTGCAATTTTTTAAAAATTAAAATAAAATAAATATTTAGGTTGAGTTGGGTTGGACATAGCACTGTCAAACGGGCCAGTCCAGCCCGGCCCGCGCTGGCCCGCAGTCCAAACGGGGCGGGCCAAAATGGCCCGCATTTCTACGGGCTGGAAAATACATAGCCCGTGGCCCGCCCGCGGGTTTTGTTTATTTTTTTTTTATGGTATTTGCGCTCTTATATAATTTTTGGTTTGTTTATTCTTAT